CGCCCCAGCCCCGCCCTCTCCCTCTGCTCTCACCCGGGCTGAGAGACCTCCGGGTGGGCGCGAGCTTGTGGCGGCTGGGGTGGCAGGGCCTGGGGAGTCGGACGTCGGGGCGCGGGGCTCGGGGCCGCATCCGGTCTTCTGGGGGTGTCCGCCCCGCCAAGTTAGGTATCTGAGAGTAGGGGCTGCGCGCACCTGGCCCGGGGAAAGCGGCGGGGCGGGGGGGGGAGGAGGAAAAGGAGAGGCTAGTCCTGACAGCAGGTCCCGAGGGAGGGTCCCCCCTCGGCGGGTCCCCGCCTGGCCCGGGGCGCACCCGCTTTGTGCAGTCTGTGCAGCGAGCGCTCCAGCTCGGCGCCGGAGAGGCCGCTGAGGCGCGCGGCCTGGCAGAAGAAGGTGAGGCCGGCGTGAGTGCGCACGGTGACAGTGTGGCCGCGGGAGCGGCCCCTCCAGCCCGGGTTCAGCCGCAGAGCCCGCTGCTTCTTGGTGTAGTAGCTTGAGGGGACAGGTGGGGGGCAGCCTCGTCAGACACCGCCTCCCCCAGTCCTCTCCATCTCACAGGACAGGAAGCCACAGGAAACTGCCCCAGAATTCAGGGCTCCCGTCTCCCTCAGGGGATCCCTGCACGGGGCAGCATCTGCTCCCCCATCCTGGGTCCTGAAGCTGGGGACATGGGCCTACCTCATCACTTCCTGCACCACCTTGCGGGGCAAGAAGCCTTGGCTCATCAACTTGAACAGCATCTCTAAGAACAGGGTTTGCAGGCCCTGGGGGTCACAGAACCGGCTGTTCCTCACCTGGCCTGGGGGCAGAGATCATGGGGGAGCGTGAGGAGGAGCCTCCCCCAGTCCTGGCCGTTCCCACCCCACCAGCCTTGCCCCTCACCCAGGCACTGAGCCAGGCGGTGGCTGTCAGTAAGGACACCCAGGAAGTCTTTGAAGCTTACAGTTCCGTCACCTGGGAAGACAGAGAGGAGGGGGTGCTGTGGGGGCCTCCCCTGCAGAAGGCCCACCCTGCATATGCTTTAGGGGTGTCTTTGCATCTCCTTCCAGACATTAGAGAATCCAGTCTCCCCTCCAGCCAAATGTCAACCCCAGTGGAATGGGGGAGAAATAGCCCTTGCCCTCGGGGATCCCCAAATCAGGATGAGGATTAACACAGCAAAAATTTTTAGGGGCTACGGGATAGGTGTGTTGATCAGAGCAGGATTCCTGGAAGAGGGAACTTTAAAATAGGACCAGGCCGGGGATTCTGTGGGCAAAGGAGACATTGTCCAGGGCTAGAAGTGAGGGAGGACAAGAGGCCAGGGATGGGAGCACCCACCATCCAAGTCTGCCTGCTGCAGAGCCTCACACATCTCCTGTGGGCTCAGCTGGATGCCCACATTGCGCAGGGCGGCTTTCATGCTGCGCATGTCCACAGTGCCTGTCGGGCTGGAGCTGAACAGTTTGAAGATCTCCTGGAAGGCTGCGGGCAGGGAGGGAGGCAGGCAGCAAGGTGAACCACACACAGGGGCCCGGAGATCCGCCCACTCTAGCTCAGAACGGTCCTGAAGACTTGGGTCACTCCCACTGCTGGGGCATTATGACATTGAAAGAACACCACTGGCTACTGTGTGTTGGCACTTGTCAAGTCCCCATTCAAGTCTCATGTTTGGACATGTTTGTATGAAAAGACATTCAACACTTAATGTCCAAGGTCCCACCACCAGTAGACTGGGCAGTGTTGGGCTCTGGACTCGGGCTCTGGAGCTGCAGTGCTCTGAGGCTCCTGGAGCCCTGCTGGCACCTGGCGGGGAGCAGGCCCTGAAGATTACTGGTGGTGAGTGAAATGGCTGCTTTGAGGGGCCCCCGCCAGGGGTACCGTGGCTTTGGGGCCCTCAAATGTAGACCCAACAGCCCCAGATTCCAGGGGGGGGCGGGGAACTCAGATTATTTTTCCCCATCCTCTCTCCCAATTTCCTTCCTCCCTTCCTCTTTCATCTTTCATGTGTTCTGTCCATCCATCCATCCATCCATCCATCCATCCATCCATCTCTCTCTCTCTCTCACATACACACACACACACACATATCAGTGAGCCCTGGAACTGTAAAGATTAGCCAGTTAGACTGCCACTGGGGACAGTTACAATACGATCACCAACTTCTCACAATGACCCCAGGCTCTGGGGAGGTGGCCCTGTGCCGTTCCTCTCCTCCTCCCCCGCTCCCAGCCCGGGGCCCTCACCCGCCAGCAGCCGGGCTGTCAGGGGCAGCAGATTCTCGTCCGCAGAGCTGCTTCAGGAGGAAGAGGGTGGAAAGGACTTTGCACCTGCTGCACAGAGATGCCAGGGCCAGGCAGGCCTTACCCCAAACCCCGCGCCTCTGGCCTGGTCTCCGGTCCCTGCCCTTACCTCTGAGACCTGGAGCCTGACTGCACTGAGCTGGCAGCTGCAAGGCACTTGAACTCCCTGGGCCTTCGGGAGCCCTGCTCAGCCCCTATGGCCTTGACGGATGCTGGCTCCCTCTGGGGCAGCGGGGCAGTGGGCTGCTGAGGACTCCCCTTCTGCACATCGCAGCGCCGCTGCTCTCCTGGGTCCCGTGCGGGCAGTCTTCCAGGCTGCCGTGGAGGCCTTGGAAGCAGGGAGAAGACAGGGCTGGGGGCCCTGTCCACCCGAGTGCTCAGACTCTCCGGGGTGAGGCGGGGGAGGGGGGCTGAGACCAGGCCCTGCGGGGGAGCAGGCTCAGCTCTACCTTCTCCCAGGACCCCCACACCAGCCTGCACCTATGGTCCCCCATCCAGGGGATTCTTCGGGCAGTAGCAGCAGACCCTTCACTAGCCCTGGTTACCTGAACGTTCCCTGTGCCGACGACGGGGATCTCTTGGTCTTCTGTCTTCGGCTGCCTGAAAGGCAGAGTCACGGGCTCTGAGGCTGGCTTTGGGGTGGACTTCAGCAGCTTTTGGCAGGAGGGCACTCTGTCCCTTGCCACAGGCCTGCTTCTGTTTGCGGGGGGCGGGGGGGGACCTGCGGCTTTACTCTTTTGAGTTTCTGCTCCCCTTAAGGTATCCGAATTTGTGACTCCACTCCAGAAGCTCACACAGGCTGGCAGAGGCCCAGGGAGAAGCAGGCCTTAGAGTCCCGAAGTCAGGGCATGGGAAGGAGGGGTCCAGCCCAAGGTGGGGCTGTGGCCCACCCCCACCTTCCCCCAGGTCCCCTGGGAGGGAAGGACCTCCTCTTCCAAACCATGCAAACTTGCAAACCACAGTTCACAAAATACTCCAGGAAGAAGCACCCCGACACCCCAGCCTCTTCCCAGATACTCACCTCTGCATCTCCTTCTCCTTCCTCTTTCCAGTCTCCTGTCCTCCATTTCCCTCTGCCCCCCCACTCTGGCCCTGGCCCATTCCCAAGTGTTCACCCCTTCCTAATCCCACCCTCCTAGGCCCTGGGCACTTCCCTCCTCGGCCCCCTCTCAAGGCAGGGCAGGCTCCTGAGGATCTGCAAGGCTGGGCTTTCACCTGATGGGGAGCCTTGGTGCTGGTGGGGCTGGAGGCTGACCAGGGCCCAAGCGATGGCTCTGCCTCTCGCTTCCCTTTCTCCCCGACTTCCCTTTTCCCGCCCGTGTTCTTACCCACATCCTGAACTCCCTTCCCTCCTTTGCAGTGAGCTCTCCTCTTCCAGAGCTTTCCCTCATTGCCCAACGTCGTGGGGAGGCTTGTGCATTCGTGCGCGTGTTTAGTGCACGTGTCTGGCTCGCAGGCCTGTGTGTCGATGTGTGCTTGTGCACACGGCCCATGTGGCACTGTCTGTGGGTGGATGTCCGCGCGTGCCTGTGTGATGTACGAGTCAGCGGATGGTGTGTGTGCGCGCTTGTGAGTCTGGGTTGCTCAGCAAAGTACACCATTACATACTCGCGCCTACATTCTGAGATACTTCCAGCTCAAGGCTGTGGCCCCTGGAGGGGCAGTCCTTTGGCATCTTTCTTCCCCTCCTTTGAGCCCCCGGACACCGTCCCTTCCCCATGCCAGGCCCTCGCTGTGGACAGAAGCAGGAAGAATTCCTTTCAGCCTTGCCTCCTCACCTGGCCAGCCCACCCCAGGAGGTCCTCTCCTAAGAAGATCCCAACATGTCCCTGGCTTCAGGCCAAGAGGAAGCCCCACTTCATGACCTAAGACACCTGAAGCCTCAGAGAGGGCACCAAGGCCTCCCCCAGACGGCTCATGAGTCTCTGCCGCTGGCTGAGAGGGCTGGAAGGTGGGAGCAAAGTGGAAGGACCCCTGGGGAGTGAGGAGGGGCCAAATAGGGCTGGCAGAGCCCTCTGGGACAGGCGGGGGCAGCTCAAAAATGGGGGTGTGTGGAAACGAGTACTACACGATGTGTTAACTAACTAGAATTTAAATAAAGTCTTGAAAGAAAAAAACCATGGGGCTGGCGTCCCTAAAAAATCAAAACTGGGACTCCACAGCCAGGTGAGCTCGCTAGTCTGGGAGCGTTTGCACAAAAAGTCTGAGCCGGGGGCCAGCACTGGAGGCTTTACTGGTTTTGTCTAGTCATTTCTCTGGGGAAGTGGGGGACGACACCTTAAAATGGATTTTCAGCAATAATGGACTCCCTTTCCCGGTTCTCGGCACCGAGCTGCAACGCAAAAGAGAGAGTGTCACTTGGGCCCCGGTGGCAGGGTCGGGGAGAGGGGTGAGCCCAGAGGCCTCTGCGGGGAGGGCCCCGGGGGGGGAAGAGGGCCTCTTCCTGCTGCATGCTGATGGGCAGCTGGCCTTCTGTTGTGTCCATTCATCATCAGGAAGCAAGGGGTGCTGGAGAACCCTGTTCCCTCACATTCGGCTCCATGGAAGCGTCCTGGGCCCAGGGCCATCAAATTCTCAGCGGGGCAGATGCAAGGCTGAGCTTTTCCCATGAGGGTGAGGCCATCTGCCCTCTGGGTGACCGAGCGTCCTAATGCTAGAATGGCCCTTCCCATGTCGAACCCAGGTCCTTGCTGGGGCCCAGAAGTGCTCACCCTCCATGGTCCCCAGGCCTCCTCCAGCCCTGGCCTTGGCACTGTGCCTCAGTCCACAGGAACCTTGTTTCCAGCAGTCTTTATGAGGTCACTGAGGTTGAGACATCACAGCCCACCCCATCCCCTACCCAGGCCCTCATTCCATTTCCCCACCCCTACCCAGCTGTGTGAGGAGTGGGCCCACCCACACATCCTAAGCACACCCCCTTTTCGGGAAGCTGTGGGCCAGCCTCACTTACCCTTTCACGACTCCTTTAGGTGAAGGGGACCTGGCCTGTTGCTGGAGAAGCTTCACTTCTCCTTCAAAGCTGGCCCTCTTGATCCCCGGCTTGCTGAAGCCGAGGTAAGGGTGGAAGAAGTTCTTGTCTTCCTGCTTCCAAGCTTTCTGTGACTCCACGGCTTTAAGTGGTTTCTCTAGCAAGTCCTTAATGAGCTTTTCCTTCTCTGGCTGGTCCATGGCCAGCTGGATATCGGGATCTGTAGAAGGTGCCTCGACCTTCTGAGGTGGAGCTTTGATCATATGCTCCAAGTTGGGCAAGTCCATCTTGCTGGAGGAGGCCACGGCCAAGGAAGAGGCAAAGTTGACCAGATCTGCCAGGCCGATGCCTGGTGAGAGACTGGAAGAGGACGGGTGGGGGTTTGGGGGCTGCTGGGAGTTGGTGGTGGGCGGAGCTGGCTGGGCACTGGGGTTCTGGAGCTGCTTCTTGGAGCACATGGTGTCCTTGGGGTCAGACTGCTGGTCCTGACAGCTAGTGGTCTTACCTGTGTTCTTGCCACTCTGCATGTTGATCCCCCGCTCCAGGCTGTGCTCTGAGGCCTGGATGTGTTTGTCTGCCCAGAAGAGGTGCTTAGAGGTCTGCACGCAGATAGAGCGATGGTTGGTGGACGCCTGGTCCTCCTCTACCGAACTCAGGTAGCTAGAATTTGACCTCACACTCCACTGGCTGACGTCCTGCTGCGTGGGGGGCTGGAGGGACTCCATCCTAGACTCCGGTTGCTCAGGGTCCTTGGGCTCGGACTCCACCTCCAGCTCCAGTTCTGGCTCCAGGACCAGGTCCACTTTGTGTGGGGGCTCCAGTTCTAGCAATTCTTTCTTCAGCTGGAAAGTTTCAACTGACGCTGAGGAGGCCCCTGGCCCCTGAGGTCCTTCTGGGGCCAATTCTCCATCCCACTCTCCTGCCTTTGTCCCCTCCTCTTGCCTCTTGGCAGAGACCTGCTGGGGGCAGGGAGGCAGTGTGAGGTGGGGGTGAGCATGGGTGTCCATGAGCACCCCAGCACTGGCCGGGTGCAGGCTCCCAGGATTGTCAAGGATTTAAGGAAGACAGGCCTTAAGGAATCTTGCCCCTTACCTACCACCTCCCCCGAAGAGGTGCCCCTGCCCACTGTTACCTCGATCTCATCTTCCTCTGGTACCAGCTGGTGTTGGCTTAGGCCACTCCTATGACAAAAGGGGCCAGAATGGATGAAAGGCCTCCAGGGAGTGGGTGGGGTGGCTTTCAGGGGGAATGGAGGTCTCTGGGGCCTCAAGATTCCCTCCCTTGTACAGGGGCCGGCAAGACGCCCCTGGCCAATCCACTCCCCTCGCTGTCCCTGCATCCACCAAGAATTCTGGAGCAGCATTTTCAATCTTTAGTGAGTTTAGGAGGTGCCTGGAGAGCTTGCCAAGTTGCCCCCTACCCCAAAGAGGGATCCAGTTAGTTGGAGGTAAGGCCCAGGATTCTTCATTCTAATCAATGAGCCAATGCAGCTCACTTGGAGAACCAGTGCCCAGAAGTTGGCTCTGCACGGAGGGAGAAGCCCAGGGCAAAATCCCTCCTCCTGACCTGCCCAACCCCAGCTTGGCAGATCTGAAAGGCAGGGGTGTGTGTGGAGGGTCCTGTCAGTTCTTGTTGGCACTTTGCTGCCATCTGGGCCCTTACCCTCAGTGCTCAGCCACTGCGACTCCCTGTCCTTCCTCAGGCATCTGCCGCCCGCCCCCACCTCGGTCGCTCTGTGCCAGAGCAAGGCAGCTAGAAGGGCTCAGTTCCCATTCATGTCTCTGAGTGTACCCCGCCACCCCGCAGTCCTTCACTAATGTCAGGGGCTGGAGGTAGAAGTAGAAGGCGGGTGGTAGGAATCCTTCCCCCCACCCCGCCCACAACACTGCCCTTGGGGAGATTTTGGAAAGAAGCAAAATGGAGGGAGATCCCGGGTTGGGGGGTGTATGAGAACTTGGCAGTGGTGGCAGGGGGTAAGGGTTGGTGGTCCTGGAGGATGGGGAACTGGCTCTCACTGTGTCTCCACAATGTCCACTGACTCCTTGCCACAGCAGGGAAATCCATTGGCACCTGGCAGGGAGAAGGAGGTGAGGGCAGGGGAGCTGCAGATGGGGACATCCGTGGAGGGTTCTGGAGCCCCGGCAGGTGGTGCTGCTCCAGCTACCCCCTCCCTCCCTCCCTGTCCTGCATCTCAGCTCATTCACCCTCCCCTCTCCCGTCCTGCCCCTCGGCTCCCTCCTCTCTCCAGTGTCACCAGCTCTGCGCTCCCTATCTGCTCCCCTCCATGCTCGAATTTGCCTTTCCTTTGGCTCTCCCCAATCCATCACCATCTTCCACGGGGATGGATGCTAACAGGCTTCACTGCAATTTACTGAGTGCTACTAGGCCAGGCATCATGTTGGGTGCTTTCTGTGCTTTATCTCATTGATTCAACACAAAAAATGAGAAAAGCTTCATTTGCCCAAGGTCCCTCAGCTGATGGTTGCCGACATCAGGAACTGAATGCAGGTTTGACTAAAGAAAAACCCTTAACTCCCCTGTCCTGCATGCTATCCTACCCAGGGGTCTGTAACTGTGTTGGGACCCCTAGAGAACCTTCCATTCCTGCTCCTCTGCCCCCTTTCTCCACTCTTCTCTGGCCAGGCTTCAGATCTGGCACTCACCCTAATCCTGGCCCCTCCTGCCCTGAAGCACCTCCTCTCCTCCAGGCTTCTCACTCCCTCACGTCCTGGGTCACCCACCCAGGCATTTGATCTGCGGGGATGCTGACAGCAGAGTTCCCATCACCTTCTGCAGAAGGGACTGAGCAACGCCTTGGGGAAGGTTTTCCCGCCCCAGTCACCTCCCTGGAAGCTTGTATCTTTTACTGAAGAAGCTTCTTTTTCATCCTCTGGGCGGTAGGGGCACCAGGCTGTCCCATTCTCTGTTCCCCAGGGTCGTAGATGGGGATTGATGGTGGAGCCATCATGGCAGTGGGAAAGCCAGATCCCCCTGAACCTAGAGTGTGGCAGGAAATGATGGCCTTGGCTCTGGCTAAGAATTACTCCCAGGATTATATCCAAAGGATCAGAGTGTGCCATGGCCTCTTTCTAGAGATGTAGAGGCTGTTTCTGCATCTGGGGTTTGGGCACATCCATGTTCCTCTTGGGCCTGGGCATCTTGGATCAGCCACATGGCCGGGCTAGGAGGGCACCACCATGGACAGGCTCCCAAGAGCTAGCTTGGTGGTCTCTGGAATCTTCCACCAGCTTGACTGCCATGTTCCGTTGGCTTCCTTCATGTCTCTCTTCATTTCCAACTCCAGTTACCCCCAGTGCTGCTTTTATCCAGGCCTCTTGCCTCAGAGCCTTCCTTTGCTTGCTTTGCAAAATCTCCCTAGACAGTCTAATCAACACCCATAGCCTAAACCCTTCCATGAACAGCAACAGGGTGTGGATAGGAAGAGAAAGTGTTATGGTGTGAACCTCATAGTGGCACTGGGGGTTGGAAGCAAAAGTCTGAGTTTGACTCAACTTGGGACCTCTGTGCCCAACCTGGGAATGTTCTATTAGGGATTCAGGTGACATTCTTTTTTTTTTTTTTCAGGTGACATTCTATAATATGTGAAATAATTTCAATTTCCAACTGCTGGTTGCTAGTGTATAGAAATGTATATTCTGTAACCATCCTAAAATCCTATCAATTCTAGTTTTTTGTTTTGTTTTGTTTTGTTTGTAGATTCCATAAGGTTCTCTACATAAACAATGATGGTGTGACTAGGGGCGCCTGGATGACTCAGTCGGTAGAGCACGTGACTCTTGATCTTGGGGTCGTGGGGTTCAAGCCCCATGTTGGGTGTACAGATTACTATTTAAAAAAAGTATCTGTGTGACTCAAGACAGTTTTACTTCTTCCTTTCCAAACTGGATGTCTCTTATTTCCTTTTTCTGCTTTACTGAGAACAATGTTCAATACAATGCTGAATAGAATTGAGAGTAGACATCTTTGCTTTGTTCCTGACCTTAGGGAGGAAGCATTCAGTATTTCACCATTAAGCATGATGTTAGCTGTGGTTTTTTCTCATAGATGACCTTTATCACGTTGAGGAAAGTTACTTTCCTAGTTCACTCAGTTTTTACAGATTATTTTTTTACACAGAGAGCACATGTATGTGCACAAGGCAGGGGAGGGACAGAAGGAGGGAGAGAATCCTAAGCAGACTCCACGCTCAGTGTGGAGCCCAACATGGTGCTCGATCCCACAACCCTGAGATCATAACCTGAGCTGAAATCGAGTCGGACACTTAACCAACTGAGCCACCCAGGTGCCCCTTAGTTCGCTTAGTTTTTAGTTAGGAAGAGATGTTAGATTTTGTCTGATGCTTTTTCTGCATTAGTTGAGATGATTATATTGCTTTTCTTTTATATTCTTTTATTTTTTAGTAATCTCTACACCCAGCGTGGGGCTAGAACTCATGACCCTGAGATCAAGAGTCGTATGATCTTCCGACTGAGCCAGCCAGGTGCCCGTTTTTTTTTTTTTATATTCTGTTAATATATTATATGTTATGTATAACATGAACAATGTTATATATTATTCTGTTAACAATTCTCTTATATTCTGTTTATGGTGAAATAAATTAATTTTTGAATGTTAAAATCAATCTTACATCCCTGAAATAAATCTCATCTGGTCATAATGTATTATCATTTTACACATTGTTGAATTTGATTTGCTAACTTTTTGAAAGAAATCTTACATGAGGTTCATAAAGTGTATTGGTGTATAATTTTCTTACATTGTCTTTGTCAGGTTTTGATATTAGAATAATGTTGGCCTCATAGAATGAGTTGGGAAGTATTCTCTCTTCAGTTTTCTGAGTTTGCATAAAATTGGTATAATTTCTTCCTTATGTTTGGCAGAATTCCCAGGTGAAGCACGTGAACCTAGGCCTGGAGTTTCCTTGTCCATTTTATCTAAGTTGGCAAATTTATTGGCATAAGGTGTTCATAATATTCTTTATTATCCTTTTCATATCTGTAGATCCTGTAGTGATGCCACCTCTTCCATTTCTCATATTGGTAATTTTTGTCTTTTTTCTTTTTGTCCTGTTCAGTTTGGCTAGAGATTTGTCAATTTTGTTGATCTTCTTGAACCAGACAGAGATATGTTTCCTGCCTGATCATCCTAAAGTGACATCTGCCAGGGAATCAGTCCTGCAGTCACAGATTCCCAGTCAGCTTTTTATGATTTCACTCTTAAACATGAATAGCCTAGCATGACTAGACATTTGAGGAAACTACCCACCTGCAGTTTACAGACCAAGAGAAAAGATGACTCTAGAATGCCAGAGGTTATTTGGGAAACAGAAAGGAGCTTTAAAAATACTCTAAAATCTTGAGATTCCGAGATGTAGATATTCAACTACATATTGCATCCAAAAAGCAAGAACAGGATGCTCTTTAAAAAATTAAGAAAAGAAAGAACTTTTGGCAAAAAGGCTTGGAAAATAAAACGAAAATCCTCCAAAAGCAGAACCAAAATATCAAGACAATGTGAGAGAAAATGATCAAGAGGCAGTCCAGTTCTGGCCTATAGAAAGGGGATCTAGAACACGGAAAAGGAACGAGAAAAATTTTCATGAGCTGAATGATGATGTCATTGGCTTAAAAGTGTTCACCGAAAGCCCTACACTACAGATGTCAAAATAACCTTGCTGTAAAAGTTCATTGCACCAGGAACAAAGAATTCTTAAATGCTTCTAAAGTGGAAAAACCAGTCACCTACAAGGGGAGGGGAATCGATTATACTGGCAGCAGGGTTAGCAACAATGGCTGCCTTTAAAATTCTGAGGAAAATATTTTTTAACCTGTAGGTTTATATCCAGCCAAACTATCATTTCAGACATGGAAGGACTCAGGAAATTTACTTCCTCTTTTTTTTAAGGAAGTTATTTGAGGATGTGCTAAAACAAAATAAAGGTGTAAAACAAGAGAGTCAGGAAGGAAATAGCGGTCCACCTCAGGAAAGCAGCTAAGTCCCAGGATTTTAACTGTATAGAGGCAAGAAGATGAAGGGTTCTGGGCAGTAGATTTCTGAAATAAAGAAAATCTGATAGAATAGTTGATTAGATGTAGAGGTTGATGAAAACTAAGACTATGATAAAACCAAAGAATATAAGGAAAAGGCAACTAGAAACTCCGGGAAAAACAAAAAGCTGTATGAGAAAGAAAAGGTAACTGTGGTACATTTCTTGGTTCTGCAGTGAACAGTAGTTATGAGTCACAATAATGTCAGTCCAGTTTTCAACTTTCAGAATCAACATATAAATAAAAATTGGAAAATGTATTTGTGGCTATAGGACAATGTAAATGTTACCAACCTTGATATTTAAAAAATAAAAATACAAGTTAGCATTGTTGGGAGGTGGGAGGGAGGGAAGAAAGCTGAAGGGAAGAGTAGGGGCACTAAAAACTTCATCTTACTATGTGTGGTATCAAAAGATATTATCTAAAGTGATGAAAAATAAAGACATAAGTATATTAAACTTACAAAGGCATCAGCAGATCTAAAAATGATGTTGGGAAGATGGGGGAGGGTGGATCCATTAGAGCAGGAAGGTGATAATGTCTAAAACTGATAAACCAAGAAAGAGTCCGTGGGCTTGTAGAAAGATAAGGTAATTAGGCAGAAAAATAGTTCTAATGGAACAGTGTGGCTGCTCTGAGGAGTGAGACTGGGGCTGTGCTATAGGAGATGCTTTTCATCACTGAAGAAGCTCTTCAGAGCTATTTAATCATATGCATATATTTCTTTGATAAAATCCAATGTTGAACCCCTGGCTAAGGGCCAGGCATTGTTCTAGGGGACACAGTGATGAACACACAGTTTCTGCCCTCTTGGGGTTTCCAAGCCTGTGGCTGGGACCATAGAAGATCCTCCAATCTCTATTTCCTATTCCCACTTCTCCTGAGCTTTAGACTCAAACTCCAGTCACTGATTGCACATTTATCCCTAAGGGGATCTCTCCCTTGTCAGAGCCTTAGATGTCTCCTATCTCTGAAATGTCCTTGTTTTCTATTGTGATGATGCTCAGTGCTTACTTCTTCCTGGAGACCTTCAGGATTCTACCCTGTGGCATCTCCTCCAGTTGCCCCAGCCCAATCCCTGCAGACCTCTGAGTACAGGACTCTTGCTGACCCTTAATTCGAGGTGGGCAGACTGTGTGGGCTTCCCACTTTGAATCTCTGATCCCCTGCACACAAAGTCTACAAGGTGGATGCTCAGCAAAAGTCTGTGCAAAGAAATGAACACCCCACCAAACCATGCGGCTTGTCCTCCATTTTTCACCTCAAGTTCACACCCTCCATGTGTAGACTCTAGTGTAGCCAACAGAGTTTGCATGTCTGATCCATCTTCCTTCCAAATCACTCATGTCTTGATCACCCCCTCTGCCCTGGTAATTTCCCCCTCCCTGATAAACCTTCATTCTATCACCCAAATTAGAAACCTGGGTTACTTGTGACCCTTCTCAGTTCCCCAGCTTCTGACCTCCCTACCTCTGATGTTGACCTTGTGCAGGTCCCTTTCTCCACCCCCACTACTTTTCATCTCCCAACACCAAAATCAGTACAAACCTAGGACTGATCACCTGCCGGCACTCCACACTGAGTGCTTCCCATTACATCCTCTTCACCACCCTATGCCCAAGTGGTCACGACTCTGCTCTCACAGATGAGGAAACTGCACAGGTCACACATCCGTTAAGAGAAGTGCCATGACTGGAACCCAGGACTGACTGGCTCTGAACCCCAAGATGCTAACCACTGTGTTGTTTGAAATCTCTTTAGGCATCTAGCTGGACCACTACAACCAAATTGCCTCCAACTTGGGCTACATAATGACTCCAGAGTGAGCCTGCTGCATCACACCTGCCTCTGGTCACATCCAGACTGTAGAGTGGCTTCTGCCCTCTTGTTGCATCTCCTGGTATCTAGCTCCCTCCTTGCTCCAAGCCCAAGCTCCCCCAGAGCATAGCAGGCCCTTTTGTGCCTCAGTCCCTTTGCACCTGCTATTTCAGATACCCAGGAAGTCTTTCTTCTGGCAAAATCCTACTCATCCCTGACAGGCTAACCCACCTCTCCAGTATCATCTTCTCTGTGACACGCTTAGCTGTCCTATCCACATTTTAATTTTTTGTTAACTCATCAGACTCAGGGCCTAGCACAAGAGTAAGAGTTGAAGGGGGTACAACAAAGGTCACAGGAGTGATTTAAGGTATCTGCATCAGTTTGGGGAAGGGAAAAGCTGTTCTCTGGTTGTTGGTTCTTGGCATATTTTTAATGCTGGCCCACGTCCTCCTGGGAGAGAAGATCCCGAGAAGAAAGCCCCTATTTCAGTGGAAACCTAAGGGGCAAACAGCTTTCGCCATCGCTACAGAGCAGAGTGCAAAGGACAAAGGAGGCGCTCAGGAAGTAGTTGTGGAAGCCGACCGCTTCTCTCTGCAAGGGCTCCAGGCATCAACCAGGAATAACTGAACTGGATTTTGGGGTTATTAGCAGTTTGGGACAATTCATGAGTCGTTTCCTGAGCACAAGGCCGCTGTTCCTTCCGTGCGCCCAGAACCCCTCCAAGAGTCGGCTGAATCTGCAGCCTTTACTCCAAGGTGTGCATTCGGGCCTGTGCGCACAAGCTTGTGCACCGCGCAGGGCCCAGGCTGGGCGAGGTAGTCTCGGGGCGAGGCGACGGTCGGCTGGGGTCGACCTTCCTTCCAGGCGCCCCGGGCTTCGGGAGCAGGGGGAGGGGCCCCGGGCTG